TAAGTGAATACTACTCGTGAACCTCATAAATATATGGACAAAAATTATTTGACTAATCATAAATAATTTATAAACAATAGTCAACCATGGGCTAAACTCTTCCTACGCCTAGCTGCTCGTATTATTTAAATATGTATTATAATCGATTTAAATCATAAATAGATTGAATTTAGTGGCGAAAAAATTGAGAGTACTTGTGAGTTCTACGAAATATAAGGATAAAAATGAAGTTGGACTAATAGTGTATAATTTAAACACCTTCCAAAAAACAAGTGTAAGATTATTGTTGGACATTTCTTCTTCTTCTTCTTCCTTTTTTTTTTTTTTTTTTTTTTTGAAATGACAATATTCAATTATTGGACCTTTCGTTGATGCAATAAATAGTTGGAGGACTCTCCGTCAAAGTTTGTGCAATAATTGACGGTGAGAAACCCGAGACATAGTCTTTGAATTCATGACCCATCGTGTCTTCAATAGTAGCAAGTCGATCCTCAATCTTTGAAGGAGAGTAAGTTGGTTTCAATCTTTCATCATAGTGGCATATTCAAACCTAACAATCTTTCAGGAGAGGAAGGCTGATTTCTAAGATTTTTGACACATCGGGGTTAAAATAAGACCTAAGATTTGAGGGCAAAGCTTATGGAACCTAAAGAGAAAAATGTAGTACGTAAAGATGCAAGGCTTGATTCAAGTTTTAGTACTTTATTTATTTAGTCATTGTTTGAGCCTCATTTTTTTCAAAATACATTTTTTTTCAATCACACATTCATTAATAAAATAATATTACACACAACCCAAAACTTTTCTTTCTTTTTTAACCAAACATTCTCCAATAATTTACTATTCCAAAATGTATTTTACACCAAAATTGGGCTCAAACATACCCTTAGTTATAGTGAATATGATTTTTTGGGAACTTATGGACAATTTGCATTAATGCATGGTCATCTAAGAACAACTTCAAGAGACGAGTATATGTTGCAACTGAGTAATGTTACCTTGCACCACTAGTTTTACAATATCAGTTTAGGTGACGTTAAGTGTCATTAAATGATAGAAAAAATTAAATGAGTCACATGATTTCACTTTTCACTGAGCCCACTACATGGTGACATTTAAATTGGTGTTATAGCACCACTAATGTTAAATAACATTATTTTTTACAATTTAGAGATTATATCTGAATTTAGAAAGTAAAATTTTTTAAGTACTCCAATATGCTCTATCTTTAATACTTATTTTGGTGAAGGTAATACACAGCTTGAACGGAAACTAGGGCCACTAATTGCCCCAATGGGCCTGGATCAAATTCAAAACTCAAGCCCTTTTGGAGATGTAGGCCTGGGGGTTCCTCATAAACCAAATAACAGCAAAGCCAGGCCCACTTGGAAGAAACAAGCTGTCATTGAGAACTCACCTAACTTGTAAACTGTATCTGAAACAAAAAAGAGGCCAGTGGAAGATCCAGAATGGGATAGCGAAAAGAAGACACTAAAGGTGCAATATGGCAGGGCAAGAAGCAAGAAGCAAGAATCACACCCTGCAAGATGAGTCTATCGATCTTCAACTTTTTGATTCTGTATCGACAAAGGCTGTTCATCAACCCTGCCAGAATCCATGAATATCCTAAGCTGGAACTCCCGTGGGCTTGGGAACCCACGGGGGGTTCGGGTTCTCTCTACTTTAATCGGGTTCTTATTTATACTTTATGTATTATGTTTTGGTAAGTCGAAATTCTGTTTGATTTTATGCACGTAAAAGTATGTTATTGAAATATAATTTATGCATGTCAATTTTTCCTGATACGGTGAGTTTAATACCACTGTCAAAATATCAATGCATTTTTATTTTTATTTTCCACAAAACAAGTCAAGTAATGAAATGCTGTTTTATTTCTTTGGCTTGCACAAAATTTCGTGATAACAATAGATAAACTTTTGGTCGTAAAATAAAAATAAAATGATAAGCCTTTTTCGTCGTATCATAATCTAATAAAATTGAGGTGAAATATAACAACGCATTAGGCTAAATTTAGGAAAAGATTTTGTATCGTGATTATCGTTGGCCTATCTTCTCAATGTCTACATTTATCTATCAAAAAGTTTAATATAGCTAGAATGCTAATTAGCTCGTGTTTGATGGTCATTACAAAGAGAAATTGAGAAAAAAAAATGATGTTTTGAATAATAATTTTTTGGAGAATATGTGGTTAAAAAGTAAAAAATAAAAAATTGGACTTACTTGCAAAATATTTTATTGTATGAATATGTAGTTGAAAATGAGTACGAGAAATAAAAAAAAATTTAATTTAAAGAGAGCTAAACCTGAGTTTAATTTATAGCATATTTCGACAAAAATGGCATTACATGATTGAAATCAATTTTAAGTTCCAAAATTTCAATATGCATTCCCAGAACAACCCTACTATACGTACAATGAGAATTGTCGACTGTATTACAAGGGGATAGATGATGCGCATCCATTGAACATTAGATTAAAAACAGTTTTATCCCAACCAATGCATATGCGCATTCTCCCTAACAATCTTCCATGTACAAGGGGCTTAACTCTTATCTCCTCTACTCTAATTTCATCTCTTGTACATGCCGCTCCCTCGACATCTTTCCACTGAAGATATTTTATATTTAATGATTAAAATAATTTATTTAATGATATTAGTAATTATCAAATTAAAATTAATTATTTCATTTTATAAATATTTATTTCATATTCGATTTCTCAAATTAAGTAAAATATTTAATTATTCAATTACGTAAATAGTTTATGTAATTATATTAATTTTAATGAAATGGGTAAAATATTTAATTATATAAATATTTAATTATATATATAACAGCCGGCCCAGGCCGCCTGTGGCCCAGTGACAATCGGCCCATATCCGTGAGTGAGAGCCTTCCTTTTGATAAAGTTAGGGTTTTTTTGACTTTTTCCAAGTAAAGTTATATTTTCACTTTTTTTTTCATTTTTTTTAATTCTATTTCTGAGCCAAATGTCATTTTGGAATTATACATGAATGAAAAGGTTATTCCCTTGTATTTCCTCCAAAATTTCATGATAACAATAGATAAACTTTTGGTCGTAAAATAAAAATAAAATGATAAGCCTTTTTCCTCATATCAAAATCTAATAAAATTGAGGTGAAATATAACAACGCAGTAGGCTAAATTTAGGAAAAGATTTGATATCGTGATTACCATTGGCCTATCTTCACAATGTCTACATTTATCTATCAAAAAGTTTAATATAGCTAGAATGCTAATTAGCTCCTGTTTGATGGTCATTATAAAGAGAAATTGAGAAAAAAATGATGTTTTGAATAGTGATTTTTTGGAGAATATGTGGTTAAAAGGTAAAAAATAAAAAATTGGACTTACGTGCAAAATATTTTATTTTATGAATATGTAGTTGAAAATGAGTACAAGAAATTAAAAAAACTTTAATTTAAAGAGAGCTAAACCTGAATTTAATTTATAGCATATTTCGACAAAAATGGCATTACATGATTGAAATCAATTTTAAGTTCCAAAATTTCAATATGCATTCCCAGAACAACCCTACTATATGTGCAATGAGAATTGTCGACTGTATTACAAGGGGATAGATGATGCGCATCCATTGAACATTAGATAAAAAACAGTTTTATCCCAACCAATGCATATGCACATTCTCCCTAACAATCTTCCATGTAGGCTTAACTCTTGTCTCCTCTACTCTAATTTCATCTCTTGTACATGCCGCTCCCTCGACATCTTTCCACTGAAGATATTTACACAATCAATTGTGAATATCTGCTATGGAAAAAAGGTAGAAAACTTCACCTTTGTTCAATGAAAGATTCCGAACTTCCCTACAAGAAAGGGAAGTAATAACATCCATACATTTCATTCTGGATTTCCATACAAAATTACAAGATTACAGAAAGTCCATTATGTCTTCTTGTGCTGCCATAGAGGGTTCTAAGTTTCTGCATGTGATCACGAATGGACCACATGAGCACTTTTCAAATATCGTAAATATGCATGAAAGAGATATATATATATATTTTCCAGAAAATTATTGCGAAATTATGTAATGCTGAAATGCAACAATATATTTCACGTCAACCGCTTGCTTGCACAGGTGACAAACTTTTTCTTTTTCTCCGTGGAATTTTGACACGAATCCCTTCCTTTTCGTTATAAACATCTAATACAAATGACATTCAGCCCCTATTCGACAATTATTATTTTCAAACTTTTTTTTTTACGTACTTATTTTTAACCACACATTCACATAAGAAATTATTCTGTACCTAGACCCAAAACTATTCTCTAATTTTTAACCGCACATTATCAGAAAAATCAGTATTCAAAATTCTGTTTTTCCCAAATAAAGGTTGCCAAATAGGGGCTTTAAATTAGTTGTGCAAGAGTAGTTCATAACAGCATATAATTGCAATAACTTCAAAGTTTCAGGGAAGTTATGCATGCCACATGGAAGAATAAATACTTGCTATTTGCAACGATTCATACAATGTTTCGTGTAGTAAAAAATCATGAAGTTGTACTCTAATTATTTACTTTGAAAAATCTTACATATACTTGAAAATGGGATACTATTTCTGATTTCTAAATTGGAATTCTTTCTATCTGCAGAATATGCATCGAAATTCACTCCTTTTTGAGTAAAAGAGACTTCTTGTATTCTTATCAAGAAAGATATGTTTGCACATGCATCACAGCCAAGAAATCTGTCTTTTCTCATGAATAAATTCTGTATGACACAGTACCGTAATATTCAATAGCAATACGAGACGCATTAATAAATAAAATTTTAACTTCTTAAAGATGAATATAGTAAATAAGACAAAATGGAAAAAATATCTAAAGAATTATTCTGAAAATATCCATGCTATCACAGTCTATATAAATGGTCCTAAACCCCATCAAAATATGCATTGCAGATAACAAAATACCTTCTCTTCCTAATATTATCCAAAAATGTATCTCCCTTCGCTCTTCATCTTACCACTCCTCTTCATCTCCTCTCAGGCTGGAGTGCTCGATTTCTGTGTTGCAGACCTATCATTGCCTAATGGACCTGCAGGCTATTCATGCAAGACACCTGCCAAAGTCACTGAAAACGATTTCGTGTATCATGGCTTGGCCACTGCTGGAAACACTACCAACATTATCAAAGCTGCTGTGACACCGGCCTTTGACGCCCAATTTCCAGGCGTAAACGGCCTCGGTGTTTCCATAGCGCGGGTCGACCTTGCGGCGGGCGGTGTCATTCCGTTCCACACCCATCCAGGAGCATCAGAAATCCTGGTTGTCATCCAGGGGACAATTTATGCAGGTTTTATATCGTCCTTCGACAATGTTGTTTACCTCAAAACTCTTAACAAAGGGGATGTTATGGTATTCCCTCAAGGATTATTGCACTTCCAAGTGAATTCTGGCAAGATTCCAGCTATCGGATTTGTTAGTTTTGGCAGTTCAAATCCAGGTCTCCAAATCACAGATTTTGCCTTCTTTAAGAATGATTTGCCGACTGAAGTGCTTGCCGACACAACTTTTCTCGACATTGAACAGATCAAGAAACTCAAGGGTGTTCTTGGTGGCACGAACTGATGGAATTCTATGAAGAGCATTGTGTCATTTCGTTTTCTGCTAAATTAATCTTGATTTTCTCATAATCATGCCACAAATTGTGTCGATTTGGAAGTGTAATTGTGTCTCTGTCATTCGCTTTCTCGTTTTGCTTTTTTAGATGCCAAATGTGAACTTTATTTTTCGTTAATTTTGATTTCTAACGTCATAGTTTGAAGTATTTGTCCTGAGTATCAAATCACTTCCTCATTTGTTCATTTCACTGTGATGAATTTTTCGAATAAAATGGTCTCTTAGTAAATGAAAAATGAGTCAATCTCTTGTCTTATGCTTCTCACATCTGGCCCCTGTTTGATGTATAGTTAAAACTCAGATTTTTAGTAAATTTTAATAAAAAATAATAAAATGTGTAGTTCAAAAGTTATAAATGTCATAATTAAAAAATAATTGTTAACTATTACTTAAATTTTGAGTAATGTTAATTATGATCATGATGATGAAATAGTGATGATGTGATAATTCATTATCCTCACATTTCTTCGTCTCTCCCCTCCCCATTTTTTTAAATAAAAATTGAATTGTTTAGTCATATTATTTCACATAAACTGTTACATCACCGATATTCCATCATCATAATGATAATGGCTTGTTTGGGAGGGATTAAAATCAGATTAAAATTGAAAATATAGTTGTTGGTGTTGACTTTTATTAGACGAGTGGGACCCAATAACGGCTATATTTTCAATTTTCTCTTAGTAAATGAAAAATGAGTCTATCTCTTGTCTTATGCTTCTCACATCTGGCCCCTGTTTGATGTATTGTTAAAAATCAGATTTTTAGTAAATTTTAATAAAAAATAATAAAATGTGTAGTTCAAAAGTTATAAATGCCATAATTAAAAAATAATTGTTAACTATTACTTAAATTGAGTAATGTTAATTATGATCATGATGATGAAATAGTGATGATGTGACAATTCATTATCCTCACATTTCTTCGTCTCTCCCCTCCCCATTTTTTAAATAAAAATTGAATTGTTTAGTCATATTATTTCACATAAACTGTCACATCACCGATATTCCATCATCATAATGATAAGGGCTTGTTTGGGAGGGATTAAAATCAGATTAAAATTGAAAATATAGTTGTTGGTGTTGACTTTTATTAGACGAGTGAGACCAAAAAACGACTATATTTTCAATTTTAATTGGATTTTAATCATTACCAAGCAAGCCCTAAATATCATTATTCTTATATTTTAATCGAGTTTTTAATCTACACAAAAGAGCCTAGTTTTCAACCGCTTGATCTTCGAATATACACTCTTCTATAACTACTTAGGGATGGCAACGTGGCGCCGTGGCGGGGCCCTCCTCGCCCCTCACTCCACTAAGAAATTCTCCTCCCCGATACCCGTTTAAGGCTGAGCGGGGTCCTTGCCCTGTTAAATTTTTTTTGTTTTAACTTTTTGATAATTTATTTTTATTATCCATATTCATTACATTTAGACAAATAATTTTAGTTACTATTTTCTATTAGAATTAATGAAATTTTGTGAATTTTTTCATTTAAAGTATTGAATTCTAAAAAAAAAAAAAATTTAATGGGGAGGGGCAAGGCACCTGTTACATGTCCCTGCCCCGGAGCAAAATTTCCCGTCCTTGACCCCACCTCAAATACCCGATTAAGCGTGTTATCCCCGTTCTATTCGGGGCGGGGCCCCGCGAGTATCGAGTTTGTCGGATTTTTTTGTCATCCCTATAACTACTATACTTTTGTGAGGCTTAAGTTATTGAAATTATAAATGAAATAGAAATGGGTAGTGGATGAGCGATAGTAGTTATTCATCTACGAAATTTGCAATTAAAATTATTGTTTGACTTTGATCATTAAGCCTCTATTTGACAACTATTATTTGAGAAAAATGAGTTTTGAATAGTGATTTTTAGGATAATGTGTGGTTAAAAAGTAGAGAAACGTTTTGAGTTTACATGCAAAATATTTTATTTTATGAATGTTTGGTAGAAAATGAGAGTGTAAAAAAAAAGTTTGAAAATAATAATTGTCAAATAGGAGTTAAATAATAAAGACACAAGAAAAAACATATTGAAAGAGCAATTTGTTGAGAAAGTATTGATCGATTACAAATAATTTATAAACATTATCCTAGCTAGGGTTAGCATGAGGTAGCCACTCTAATTCAAACAGAGTTTCCAAAACCCTATGTAAATGTTCATGACACCTTGTATTCATAGACTATCATAATTCAGATTACAATAGTCTATTCTTGACCTACTGAATTTAAGTTGTTAATTAGTTTTGACAAGTCACTTAAAAAGGTCCAAAACTACACTAAATAGTTATTTATAGCAAGCATGCATGCATTATAATTCCTAATATTAACAAGTCTAAAGTGTCTACTTCAAAGCTCCCAATATTTACCTCCTTTAATGTATTAGTATCACATAATCTATAAATATTATCATTTCACAAGTGTATTATGTATACTACCACATAAAAAATATATCAATTGTTCATAATTAGTTTTACTAATTAGCCCCTATTTGAGTCACATTAAAATTTTCATTCTTATTTTTCACTCATTTTCAATTACACGTTTTTCAATAAAATAACATTTTCCATCACATCAAAAACTTTTCATTCTTTTTCAACCATACATTTTCTATCAATCTACTATTTCAAAATACATTTTTCCAAAATAATGTGGCTCAAACACACCCTTAATCATTTCCTTCATTTATAAACTATTTTAAATAATTATTTGTTTTACACGAATAAAAGGTACATATGGCCCTGTTTGAGCCAAATTATTTTAGAACGGGAATGAAAAATATAGCCGTTATTGGGGCGTACATAAGTGATAGAAAATTTGAATTTAAATGTTGATATGATGGATAGCGGTCATATTTTTCATTTTAATGAGATAATAATATAGATCAAACGGGGGGCATAATGTACATGATTAAAAGAGATCAAATAATATTTTAATTAATTCTTTCAAAATGATTTGAATTGATATATTTGGAAAAATATAAATATGATGTAGTCCTGTTTGGTGGGGATTAAAATTAGATTTTTAGCATATTTTGATAAAAGGTTGATGAGACGTGTCATTGAAAAGCTGTGGATCTCATAAAATACATAGTTTAAATTAGTTGTTGACTTTTATTTAGATTAAAATTTGAATTTGATTTTTTTCCGAATAGGGTCATAGTGTCTTGATACAAAAACAAAATTATTCTTGATAAATATTGTACAAGTAGAGTGTAAAGAAGTGTTACTAGTGACAGCGAATCTTCAAAGGTTGCAAACACGGTTCTCTTAATTTGACATGCAATTTGGATGGCGATAAAAAGAAAAAAAGCGTAACGAGATTAATGTGCTTCATAAGGAACCACTTTCACTTAAGAGTTGAAATAAGAGACTAATGCTTAGCGAAATTAAACAATTTTAATATTCAAAGTAGGATCGTATTTGTGTTTATGAAGAATCTACAATAAGAATTATACATTTAACGATTACAGTTATAATTCAAGAACGAACTTGGCATTCCACCACTACTTACATGCAGGACAACCAGATTGAGGAGAACACAGTTTAGGATTTCTGCGTAATTTGGGTGCTAGCAAGTGATCGAAACAGAAGCTTGACATCTAAACACAAGCCATGTATTTAAATTATAGGTGATACCAATTAGGATTAGTAAAGGCATATTCTAATTGGAAGCAAGAATAATTAATCTGATTAATTAAATTTGGCCAACATACAAAAAGTTCAGTCAGCAGTAATTGTTAAGTCCACCCAACAATTGTTCATTTTACCTTTTGTTTGTAACTTGTGAGTTTTCCCATTTATTGTAACAAACATTGCAATATTATTATCTTGATCTAATAAGAATAAGATAAATTAAAATCAATTCTTTACCCTCTTTTGGGTTTCATTGTATTGTACTGAAATTTCACTTATCAAGAAATGAGGTATGTATAAGTAAGTAAGTAATATTTGTGGATCCTATGAAAAATATTGTTTGACTTTGAAATTAAAATTGTGTTCGGTAGAAGTTAAAATCGGATTAAAATTGAAAAATTAGTCGTTATTGTTGACTTTTATTAGACGAGTGAGACTTAATAACGGCTATATTTTCGATTTTAATTGGATTTTAATATTTATCAAACGAGCACTAACTTATGCCTTAACGCATATATAGGGTATGATAAGATCATTTTTTAGGTTATTGCAGAAATATAATCCATTTATCAAGTACAACTCAACTCAATTGATTATGAGCTATGGATAATCGTCAATCTTGAGATAATCAGTTATATTATTCATCAAAACTTACACGTTGATATATACGAGTTGTGGGTCATAATATCTTACTATTTAAGAGTGATGAATCATGTATTGGTCATTTATTACACTTCTTATGATTCTAGACAAAGAAATGTTCAATGTTATCAAAATGTGTCCGCCCGTATATAAGATTCTATAGTAATTAACGATCTCAAGTTAAATGATCAAATCCACTATCTAACACTTAAAAAAAAGATTTTTATTGACACTAAAATAGTTATCTATGTAAAATCTTCCTTATAGGTCATCCAATAAAATGTTCCTTCAACAACTTACCCACATGCTCATTCAAATGTCTCCACATTTTAACTTATAAAATCAACTACTTTCTTCACAAAAAAGTAATGCGGTACGTATTAGTCTTTCTGTAATTGCGATATCCATATCTCATAGCTACTAAGATGGACACCAAGCTCTCAATACTTGCCCAAAGATGTGAAATCAACTATTACACTAACCTCAACTCATACCACCTCACTTTTTTCACTCAAGAAACATGGAATCTACTAAAAAATTATAAGAGTACATGAAGAATTATAGATAGGTAACATTAGAGAGAGAAAGCATCTTGTTAACCCTATAGTGATATGGCTTCCTTTATATATACATCTAACAATAGTGATGCTTTATTGATGATCCACAAGGGAATCAACTCTTTAATAAATAAAATGTGTTTTACCACCTGTTGCGTTACTCAAATGCACCTTTAGTTCAATATTCAAATAATAATTCTGTAAGAATCAAACATCTTCATATTCATTTTTAGGCGAGTGTACGATAAATCAGGGACAAACCATGACATTCTTTCAAAACTCATTTTCAACCACACATTTTTCAATAAAATAATATTTTTCATCACATCAATAATTTTTTTTTTTTTACTTTTTAACCACATATTTCCCATCATATCACCATTTAAAATACATTCTTTATTTAATAATATCCATCAAACACCTTAACATCACTGGTTTTAAATATCAGCTTAAGTGATACTAACATTAAATGAGATGTATGGTTAAATGAGTTTCTTAATTATGTTTTTTATTGAACCAATTATATAGCGTCACCTAAGCTGATGTTGTAGTATCAGTGATGCTATATAACATTATTATTTTTCAATATGTTGATTATTTGAATCCTCATAATTTAGTAAAATAAGAGGATGCTTGTAAGATGATTATTATTATTATTATTATTATTATTTTAAAGATGTACAAATTATGCCCCTGTTTGATATATATAAAAATAAGATTTTAGTAGATTTTGATAAAATTTGTGTAATGTGTTGTTGAAAAATTGTTGTTTTCATAAAATGTGTTATCAAAATTAATTGTTGATTTTGATATAAATTTTAATACAAAGTAATGTTATTTAGGATTATGAATGTTAAAAAACCAATTTAGGTAGTACTAATGTGATATTAAATGAGAGGTCCAATTAAATTTTGTCACTTAATTATAATTTTCATTGAGCCCTCACGTAATGTCCCATAAACTGTTGTTCTAGCATTAGTTGTATTAAATACTAAATAGTATTAATCTTTAATATAATTTTTTAGTGGAATCAAACGGGAGCTATAAATGTGGAATGAGGAAATAAATTTTTATTTATTTATTTATTTTAGATAATAAACAATTTTTTTATTTTTATTTTAGAAAAAGGAAATATCTTGTCCAAATAATCCCAATTATTTACCTAAATTTCCGCTTTATTGCCCGAACCTGTCAACAAGAAAGTTTATTGGGCTTGAAGGTTCTGGCCCAAACCATATTTTGGCGGGAAATACGAAGCTTAGCCTTCTATTCTTAACAAGCGTGTCCAGTAAGCTTCTTCAACTCCCCCTCAAACCCCGACGCTGCCGCACAACCCACTAAGCACAGCGTGCGTACATGTCATACCTCCAAACGGAACTCTACACTCTCTTCCGCTTCTCGCGTTTTTGTTGATCGCCTCTTTCTTCGACTATTGCTATTCTCTGTAAGTACCTTTTTATCTCCCAATAGTCACATATTAGGGTTGTGTGTATATGAATATTGATGTCAATGTATTCGTGTTATTAGTTGGGTATTTATCCATTTTTAATCTATTTTCCTTGCAACGTGTTTAATCACTTGCATTCAAATGTTTGAATCAAACTGTATCTATAGGCAGCAGAGTTTCCGTTTTTTTTTTCCCTCTTACTGTTTGTTTCTATAATTCAGTCTGCACTATGACGGTGTTGAGGTCCCGAGGAGTAGCGTCAACCTGCAATTCCCAAGGTTCGCTACCAAAAGCCTTTGAGAATGCGGTGACTGAACCGGTGACTCCAGCGAAAACCCTTGAATATTTGAACCAACCATTGATAAAAACGACCCCAATTTCTAGTTCTTCGTCTCCAAAGCCAGGTGTAGAACCGGGGTTGGTGGCTGGTTTCAGTATGGGTTCCGAAGCTGTAACAGTGCGGAGAAGTGCACGCTTGGCAGCAAAGCTGGGTAAAGGTGATCACCAGGAAAATATTGAGACTATGAGTGAAGAAAGGAAGAAAGTAAAGACAAAAGTTGAGAATAATCCTTGTGAGGGTGTATGTGAGATAGAGAATTTGGAGAAAGAGGTTTTGGATTCAGATTTGGAGGCTGAGAAGGAAGGTAGGTTTTCTGAACAGACAATGACAGGAACTTGGCTTGTCAGTGGATCGGTTCCTGTTTTGGAGGAATTCAAGCTTGGCAGAGTTATGTGTGTGTCTGGATTTGGTTGTGATGGAGAAACTTTGAGGATTAAGACTGCCAATAATGGGAAAGGGGAGAGGACATATAGCATGGAGATGGATTTAGCTGTTTTGAAGTCAGGTAACAAGGATGGGAAAGAAAAAGGGTTCTTTAACTTGAGATCAGGAAAGAAAGTAGCGAAGAGAACAATTGAAGGTGATTTTGGAGGTCCTAGTATCGGGTTGGAAGAAGTTGAGAGTTGTAATAATGATGCTAAGTCAGGTTACGGTAAAGAAAGTGAGATTTTGTTGAATGGCAACAATGATAAGACTGACTCAGAGAGAAACATGGAAGAGGATGTATGTAGTAGTTGGAAGAAGAGGAGACTTAGTAGAGGGGAGAAAGGTAAAGGGAAAGTGGTTGATAAAACTTTGCCGACAAGTAGTGCTGTTTCATTGAAATTGGAAGTAGACAAAGAAGTAGGGATATTAATTGATGATTCAAGCTCCAGGTTATTGGAAAGTGTAGATGGTAAAGTAGAAGTCACAGGCCAAAGTGTGATTGGAATTGAAACTGGTTTGAAGACTAGAGCGAGACTGCGGAAAGAAGAAAAAGGGAAAGGGAAATTGGTAGAGAAAGATTCTTCCTCTAATGGAATGGATGCATTGGTTAAGAATTTTGCGCTTAGGGTAGAAAACAAAAAGGAAAATGCTCATGCAGGTACAATCCACTTAACAGAAAATGCAGCATTGCTAGATGTGAATGTAGTCAGAGAAACAGATGCAAGAAGTTATAAGAAACGGTTCAGAGATATAGCCAGACAAAATGCATCTCGGTTTGCACATTTTTCTGCGCAAGAGGAAGAGCTGGGCCATGCTGCTGCTGGTATTGCTGGAAGAGAAATTCCAACCTCTGAAGCTGTCAGTGAAATAGAAGACTGGCCTGGTCCCTTTTCAACTGCCATGAAAATCATTAAGGATCGTGAGAAGAATGTGCCTGGGCTGCATGGTTCCTCAGTGGGCAAAAGTAAAGCTGTGGAACTAACATGGGTTCCCAGAAAAGATAAGCAATGTAACGGCCAAAAGCAGTTTCTTCCCTCATTGCAACAACTATGCTTGTCAATTCTAGCAAAAAATGCCGATGCTATCACTTCACTTGACTGCATCCCTGATGTGTTGAGGCACAAGCTCTGTCAGTTGCTTTGTGATTCCAGGAAGATGAATAGTCATTTTCTTCAATTACTTGTTAGTGGATTTCCGACAGAGATACGTCTGAGGGACTGCTCGTGGTTGTCCGAGGAGCTATTCACTAGGACATTTGAAAGTACAGATACCAACAACCTAACTGTAAGATTCTTTTTGCTCTTGTTCCATTTACATATCTGATTATTTATTCTGTATAAGAAAAATGTTCCCGCATTGTTTAGATTCACAAATAGCATTTAGTCGTTGCTTCCCCAAGTTGTATATAATACATTTATTGCAGTGAAAAATTCGTATGGAGTGCTAACCTTAATTAGAATGTAGAAGTCTTTGAATTGTTGTTGTGGATATTACTTATTCTGCTGTGTAAGTTTGATTTCGGATGTCATTAGTGGAAACTGTCATGCTGCTATACTTTTGTTAAACCATATCCTTTGATCAATGGCTTCTCTTTTAATTTGTATCTTCAAAGGACCTGAAATATCATTTCATGATATTAGGTGCTGCAATTGGATCATTGTGGATGCTGTGTACCAGACTATACTCTCTCTGCTACCTTGGCCCGTTCAGTTAATAGTCTTCCTGTTCTGACTGCAGTATCCTTGAAGGGTGCATACCGTCTTTCAGATGCTGGGCTAAAAACGCTTGTTTCTTCTGCCCCATCTATCACATCTATTAATCTCACCCAGTGTTCCCTGCTTACCTCTGTTGGCATTTGCAGTTTGGCGAACTCGCTGAAATCAGTTCTAAGGGAATTATATATAGATGATTGTCTAGAAATAGATGCTATGCTTATTCTACCGGCATTGTTAAAGCTAGAGCATTTGGAAGTTCTATCAGTAGGTGGAATCCAGACTGTTTGTGATAAGTTTGTCAGTGAAATTGTATCTGTACATGGTCGCAGGATCAAAGAACTTGGTTTAGCAGGCTGCATGTAAGTGTTTGGTTGATCACATCTGTTTTTGTTCACAGAAGATTTTAAAACAATAAACTGACTCGAAATTTACGTTCAAAACTTGTTGCAGGCAGTTATCTGATTTATCTTTGAAAGTCATTGCGGAGACTTGTTCTGATTTAAAAGTGATAGACCTCATGAACTTGTGCACATTGACTGATACTGCAATGGCACACCTTGCAAATGGTTGTCGAGCAATTCATACGCTGAAATTTTGTCGCAATGCGTTCAGGTTTCTATTCTTTGAATGAATTTAATAATATTGGCAACCACAAATATACTAACGTTCATTTTGTGGGGGTATTGCATATAGACAATTGTGTGCTTATGTCTATGGCTGAAGATTGGGGAACTCTTTTCCTTTGGACTTGACCGTGACCTGATTGGTTTAATTTTACTTCTTGTTTAAATTCATTGTTCTACGCGGATTACTGAGTTTTGTTGGGAGAATAAAAGGTGTTGCTCACCAAATAATTCTATTTACTTGTGTGTCTGTAAGTTATGACAATGATGGACCAAAATAGATGAGCCCTTAGTCATAGTCAAACTACTCAACAATGGTTCTTTTAACACATGTTAAGCCTACCATTAAGGAAACAAATACAGAGTAATTTAATGACGGATGAATACAGTAAGAATGAATAAAGAGGCACAAGATGAAAACCTTGATTCTCCTCCGTTCCATTTTTTCTAGCTTGGTTTGCTATTAGTCTCTTTTTTTGGTTCCTAGATCTCTTGATTTAGTCCTATACCACTTTGGGACATTATTTGGGTACACCTGATTTGAAATAACTGTTGGAATTCATGGATTTCATGTTCTGGCAGTGATGAAGCTATGGCTGCATATCTTGAGATTTCTGGAGCATCTCTGATAGAACTGTCACTCAATAACGTTAACAAGGTAAGAACATAAGGGTTTGTTTGAGCCCCATGTTTTGGAAGAAAAGATTTTGTAGTGGTCACTATTGGAGAATGTGTGGTTAAAAAGTAGGGTAATGTTTTGTGTTTTCATATTAAATTATTTTATTGGGAGAGTGTGCGGTTAAAAATGAATTTGAAGAAAAATGAGGGTGCGTTTAGTTTGCTGTTTTCAGTTTTGCAAAATACTGAAAATTTGTTTAGTATTTTTGAAAATGCATTTTCAAAAAAAAGGTTAAATTTATAATATAAAATTAAAAATGCATTTTTGACATTCTGAAAACATTCAAAACGTAGAAAACAAGCGCTTTAATAAAAATTTTATTTTAAAAAAAATTCTAAATTCTAAAAGGATAATATTTTTAAATTTTAAAAAAATAAAATTCAGAAAAATAAATTCTAAAAAATAAAAAAATAAAAATTTTGAAAAAATAAATTTAAAAATATAAAATTAAAATTAAATTATAAAAAATAAAAATAGTTCAAACTCTTAATGATTATTTCAACAAAATTCTAAAAAATATTTATAGAAACACAAATAAAATTTTTTTTCACATCTTTAATTTTTATTTATTTTTTCCTATATGTTGAACTCAATTTATTATTATTATTATTTTACTTTTGTATTGAGAAAAAATATTTTAAAATTTATCGACTTTAAAATGTATTTATTACTTGAATGTTAAAACGTAAAATCGTTCTTTTTTAACTGAATATAAATTTCATGGAATAAAGTGTCGTAAAACAATTTTTTAAAATTTTAAACCTAACGTGTATTCTTGTTTTCTATTCTGAAAAATAATTTTTCGAAATGACAAACTAAATGTGTCTTTAGCAATTTTAAAACAAACCCTTAAAATAGAAAATTGAAAATGAATTCAAAACTGAAAATTGAAATACAAACCTAACGGACCCTGAGTTTTTAAAGAACGGGGCTCAAATAGGGACTAAATTTAATTCACACAGTACTTATATTTCTATTTTCACTCTTATTTGTAGATAAGAATAAGATTATTTGATCTTTTATCTTAGTGCAATTAGTTCGGTTGTAGTTTGTCTGTTGTCTTTTGATAACATGCTTCACTTGCAATTAATTGGTGCTTTGTTTGCTCTTTCTCGTCTCTTGATAGCACATGCTTGATGCCAATGAAATTTGTTGCTCAAAGATAGGATAGCATGCTTAACCTCTCTCAGAGATGTTAATTGCTCAAGCCAAAAGTTAGGATTTCTGAGTGCATTAATGCAAAGGCATTGCTCATATTTTCCTAAATTAACTTGTATTGTTAATAGTGGCTATCTGATTTTATAGGTTTCAAATAACACTGCTCTATCACTTGCCGGACATTCCAGAAATTTAGTTACTTTAGATTTGTCTTGGTGCCGTAATTTGACCAATGAAGCTCTTGGATTAATCGTGGATAGTTGCTCATCATTGGAAGTGCTCAAATTGTTTGGATGCACTCAGGTATTTGGTGAATGGTTGGCAAATTATGTCAAGCAGTAATATTTCTCTTCCATTTGACCAATGAGTCTCTATTTGGCCTGTCAAGTTCTATGTATAAGCTGTTTTCATCTTTTCCTATTGTTTGCACCGCTGCTAGCATTGTGAATTACTTGCCAAATATTACTTGGGGTAGTGATTGGTCGCTGGAGCTTTTATCTGGTATTAGTACATAGAATCTTTGTCCTGTAATTATTGCATGATTTGTCATTGTGGTTTCCCCTTTCCACAATGTATAATGTTCGACTGTGGCACTACTCGAAAGTTCTTTAATGGGAAAGCAGATTAGTTAACTTTTAGCGACTGTTTGATCCCCATTTTTTCCTCAAAATGCATTTTGGAATAGTATTTTGGTTGAAAATAAGAGAGAGAAAAATGTATTTTGGAAATAATGGGGACCAAACAAGGCTTAATTGATGCTCTGGATATGAAATTCTCTTCCCTAAGAATTCAGTGATAATAAGGATAGATCTTGCAAATTTTTCTGGTGGTTCTGATTTCTGCTGTATGATCTTTTTAAATGACGCACGCTTTACTTTATTCGGCATTCTTAATTTTGGAATTTCCCCAACTTTTTCTTGAAGTAGTGAGTTATGATATGGTGAATTGCAGGTCACAAACGCATTTCTTGATGGCCATTCTAACCCACAAGTAAAAATCATTGGATTGAAGATGAGTAAAGTATTTGAACATATTAAGGAGCCATATGTCCTGTAAGACTGCCACGATAGAGATACTCTGCTTTTGTGGCCTACTTTTGCACCTCTCTTGTCCGTTCACATCATGGAAAAAGGCTTGACGCTTTTGTCTACACAATTTGATGATATCGATATATCTAGATGTTTTCGGTGGAAATGACTAACGAGTAGTTTCTTGATGTATGAGAATTCATAGCATGATATACATCCATTTATGTCTAGTTTCTCTACATTTTATGCACTGAAGTCAAAACAGTATACATTGTGTAAATGCTGTCGTGGCTCTTATTTTGCTGGCTGTTTATAATGTTTGCTGAATATGTTAGTTATAATATGGGTCGACCCCTACATTCAGGATTTTGTTATAGTTATGTTAGTTATAATGTGGGTCGACCCTTACATTCAGGATTTTGTTATAGTTGAATTTGACAGTATTTTAATTAGTCTCTCCAATTGCAATGGTTTTCTTTCCTCTGAAGAGATCATAGTATCCAATTCGAGTTCAATATTTTATGCTGCATCATGAATGTCTACGAGAATTTTGCTCTACAATTACCATTGCTACTTTTTATGCCAATTCCAACAATTCCATGAGATAACCCAACTTGGTATTTACTGGGCAAGTTTGAGTTGATTAAGCTTTATTTAGATAATTACCTTCTATGGAGAACCTTAGTTCTTCATATCAAAAGAGTGGATAGAACAACGTATTTGATACTCACTCCGTTTCATTTATATAAGCGAACTTTTCTTATTTTCTTGTTCCAATTGTATAGTTTTGTTTCTTTATTGAGAATGATTTGTTTTTTTTATTAATATATTCTTACTTAATTTGTCTAATTATATCGTCAAATGATGATCAACTATTAATTTTACGGGTAAACTAGGAAAGTTTTTGGCAAATATTACTTTTTCAGTAACATTAAATAAGATTTGGTAATTTGTGTGAAAAATAAAATCAGCCTGTATAATTGAGAAGAAGAGAGTATTATATCACATAAAACACCATTGAAAGATTTTGACGAACAAACCACACGATGCTCCAGTTAAAAATTAGGTTTTTAGTAAATTTTGATAAAATTTGATGAAATATGTAGTTGGAAACTGAAAAAAAAAAATAAAATTGTGAATTTCTTCAAATGTGGTTAAAATTAATTCTTGATTTTGACTTAAATCATGTTTTTTTTTGCCCCTGGTAAACTCCACGTGTACTTGGGTGAAATGTTTGACATTGATCTCTATGTTGTTTACTAATTGAAATGATTAGTTTAAAAGGGAGAGAGAGAGATACCAGCCTAATCTCCAAAGATAAATAGGAAAATTGAGATTAGTATTCTCATTACGATGAGCCATTACAAAATTTAAATTCAAAAGACACCAAACTTTATGTGCATATACCAGTTATTAATGAGATTATATTTGAAGATTGTTGGAAAAATTTTCTAATAAAAGTGAAAATTAAAGTTTAACTACCAAAAGATAAAACTTAGAGAAAGATTATTGCTTAAGAGAAATAATTTGGGAGGGACTAACCAATACTTTGAAGAAGTTTATTATCCTTGCATGCAAATCCAATTTGTAGATTTGAATTGAAAAAGGGACCATAATTGGAGAAACATGCATGGCAAAGGCCATTTTCTTAAAACATCTGGTTCGAATGTTTTGTGTCCGATTCATGATATGATGGAGGAGTTTTATCTTTGAAAATTTAATAAGCAGCTTTGAAAATTTAATAAGAGAATGTCTTGCTTTCTATGGAGCTAAACACATAAACCCTGGAGTGTTAATTTTCTAAGGATTTCACATTTTATTATTAAAAATGCAATAGAGTTTAAGTTAGGTAGAACCCGAAGGTCCACTGACAATTCATATATAAATTACCGAATATAAAAGTATACCAAAACAAACTATTTGCACAAAAGTAGCTTACCTCTCGATAGATCAAACGAATTTTTTTAAATAAATTATGAATGCATGCTCCCAAAACTCTTCCAAATTCTCCCGTTGTAGACTTAAACAATTGCTTTTTACTGTGTATGTATAAATATTTATTCTATGGTATTCTACCGTGCAAGTATATGCCTCTGTTTGGTATATTAAAAGATTTTTAGCAAATTTTGATAGAAATTGATGAAATGCATGGTTGGAAAGTTATGAGACCTAAGAATATGTGATTAAAATTGATTGTTGACTTTAATATTAAGATTAAAAAATCTAGATTTTAATTTGTACCAAACAATAGCTATATATTTTAGGGGGATTACTCTGACTTCTTGCCGTATGTGTTTATAGTGGAAAATATTCACTAATTGAGTTGATATGCAATTAAAATTATCACAGCTGCGTACTATCACAAATTAGATAAGAATTGGGTAAAAGAAAAATGTTAAGTGTACATAATAAATGTACGCAATGGATGACATAATGTGATGTGACAACCATCCTGTCGTTGATGTGAAAGTGTCCGATTTAAATTAAAGGTGCTGATCAATGCCATTTGCAATTATGTAGACCATTATGTACTTGTTACATCACTCTTAGATAAAAAAGAGTTTCCTATTGAAAGCGGAATTGCCAATCTTTCGTGCATACTGATTGGATTGATCCAAAAATCTAGTGATAAGCCCAAACCTTTTAAGTATAATTATATTGGTATTTAATCACCAAAATTTAGCCTAAAAATAAGGTTCGAAAAAAACATCCCACTTAAACTCAACTCAACTACTAAAAAGGGTGTATTCAATTGAGTTTTTTAATAACTTTTTAGGATTTAAAAAATTTAGGGGTATTCAATGTAGATTTTTTAAGACTCTCTAAAAATATTGGTGTATTGAATTGAGACTTTTATAAACTTTTAAAAAGTTTCTAAAAGTTACGATGTATTCAATTAACACTTTTTAGAAGTCTTTATAAGTTTTGGAGTTTTCAAATTTTAATAACTTTTAGAAACTTCTATAAAAGTCCTAATTTTTAAGTAGAAAGTACTAAAATAAAATTTCAAAATTTGTCTCTCATTAATAACAAGATTTTGAGATACTTTCACCAAAAAGAGAAGAAATTAATATGTGTATATATATATTAATAATTCTCCTACCTTTTTCCTTCTATGAACATTAGAGTTATGATTACAATTTTTTTTTGTATTGATTATATCTGTTTCTATTTTTCTTTTTCTCTCTTATTGTTTATTTCTATTTTCTATGGAAAAAAGTTAAATTGGATTTTTACCACTTCTTTTTTTCTTTTTTAATGCATTGTTTGTGTCTTAAATTTTTATTCTTTTTAAAATAATTCTTTATTATATAAGGAGGGGAAGGATAAGGGAATTATGGAAACCACTAATCAATGATAAATTCTTTGAATTTTAACATCTTGGACTTAATTTATATGAAATAATTTTTGCTCGAATTGAGAACTTATAATTAATTACATGCTATAAAAAGAGTCCAATATTAATATATTAAACTCGATCTATTAAAATCTAATTATTTGACTCAAGAAAATAAAAGAATTTAAAACATATTTTACTTTTTTCAAAATATAAACTTATAATATATAGAACAATTAAATTTTTATTTTATAAATTTCGGGACGTCACAGCTACTGCGAAGACATTATGGTCAAACAATTTCGTTGCTATGATAATTCAAGTACGATTTTCTCCTCCAAGAACAGTAAGCCCCTATTTTGCATCATTTATTTCAAAACATTTTTGTTTTCAATATACTAATATTCAATCACATATTTATACAATAAAATATTTTGCATGTAAACTCAAAATTTTTTCCTACTTTTTAACTAAACATTTTTCAAAAAATCACTATTCAAAATATTGAAAATCCCAAATAATATTCATCAAGCAAGAAGTTTCTAAATTTTGATTCCAAGCGAACTTGAGTTGGATTAGTTTTGGGCCCAATCAGTAACCAAAACCTTCAATTCAAATCGATTCATTCCAACTGTTGAAATCGAATTGAATCAAACCAAACCAAACCAAACCAAATCAAATCGGCTTGGTTAGTCGATTTAGATATTGGTCCAAGTAAAAAAATTGCATATATATATATATATATATATCCTACATACATAAATAAAAGAGTCACTTTTGTTTTACTGTTCATAAGTCGAGCCGAGCCAAGTGGCTTGACGACTCGGCTCGGCTAAGCCATTTTTTTTTTTAACGTTTGATTCAATATTTTAAGTTACAAATATTCATTTTAAGCGATTTAAAATTTGTTGGAAATATTGAAGTGCGAACATGATAAATATATGATCGATAAATTTTAAATATGAAAAATAAATTTATATTATTGTGAAACGTAAAGTCGTGATTGTTTATATTTCTTTTCAATCCCAATC